AAACGTCGCGTTACAATATCTACCTTGTACATTGCCTGACTGTCTGCCCGCCAGGGTTGAGCATTCGTTAGCGCGTTGGTTGCTGTACTGAAAATAGTTTAAAGCGATGTTTATTTAAATACAACGCAAGCAATTTGATCACTCGGATGATGGAACAACACAGATATTTAGGTCCATCTCCCTGTGGCTTTCTTCAAGGTAAATAGGTTGGGGCTTCAGAAGTTCGCTTCGTCGTTCGCAACCGCCCTAACTTTTAGAGTCTTAAAGCCCTCTAGATTGATGGCAATAGTATTTTCAAAACGAACTCGCCTACCTCCCTTGAAGAGAACCCGTGAGACACGGACAACAGCGTTGGTGTTGACTGACCTCCCAATCACCAAATTGATTGTTGTACATAAATAAAGCATGTTTTAAGCTATTTTCAGCCTTGCGCATGAAAATGTCGCACCCGCGAAACACAACATAAGACCGCTCAGATTGCCAATCCTCTGATAAAATTTTCGCGTTTGTTTTCACTAGCACATGGCAAACTTATTTGGATCAGCCCTAAGTCAACGACGCATCTAGTCATTTCTTCTTTCTGAGAGCTCTATTCAGTTTCTGACAAAATTAAACACAAATCTTCTGCAAACACTGTCTCCCAGTTATGGCTAATCATTTTTCGGTTATGACCATGTAGTCACGGCAACTTAACACTTCACGACTGAATTGTATGTAATGCAAAGTGCATCTCGCATCCTTTACTGCTCATGGCAATACCTTGCTTATCAACTATGATATTTTAGGAAGCGGTGTTTTGAAGATGCTTTTGCAGAGTATGAATTCATGTGTGATTATGCCGCGAAGTATGTTTTAAGATTCGCAGCTCCTATGCATCGAATTTCACAGCGCATTGCACAACTCCCTTCTTAATCAATTCCTGAGTGGCCATCTCTGCAGGACATAATGATTGGGATGACTCTATGTACTGAGATGCCATGCAGCCGCGACTTGTTCAATTTACCCCGTAGGCATCTAGCAACTAGATGACGGTGTCCTGGCTGTGAAACTTGGCACTGAAAAGTTATCACCTTATCGTCATACTCTGGAACACCTACCGATACTATGATATTTCGCGAAACCACTAGGCGAAAATTTTGATAGGCGAAACAGAAAATTATTGGAAAATAAACAGTGGCGCCATGTGTCTGAACTGTTTAAAGTTCTAAGCAATACCAAACAAAAATATACACGTTACTAAAGGCCTATGCACAAGGTCAGCAGAAGTAAAAGTTGAAAAACAACAGTCGTTGCAAGGATCTGAATTGCTTGGACTCGGTAAAAGTTTCTGTACGAAGCTGCAGTTCGAGTTATTCTCACAACAGTTGTGTAACGATTAAATGGAATTGCAATTTTCTTCACTAAACGTAGTTTGAACACTTGTACGACAGGTATCGTGTTTGTTATGATACTTGGCAATTCTGCACGTGATTAGAACGCTTCCTTCGTTGCACCACTACAAATTAATTATGAATAACAATGTCGCATCATGGCTGTCTGTGTGTGTCACTACGCTGGCGATGCCTATAAAACAGTCCATTATATTATTAGTAATCAGCTGCTGAAAGCGAGCGATAACTCTGAAGAGATTTCATGTAAGTACGTCAAAAGCTTACCGAATGTTGCGTGTAACTATTTTATACTGTTAGTGAAGATGCCAAAGCTTTGTCCACGCGGCAATTTCATACCTACCTTGGTGTCGTGCTTCTTGAAGTGATGCAAATTTCAGAACATCGATTGCAACAATATTCAAAACTGGATTCCCATTCTAAATGACTTCTGCAGTCTGGACCTTTCTAGCCTTTACCAAAATTCAGAAACCATCTATATTCTGTATGCACAGTGACACCTCTCAGAATATCCGCCTCGGAAATAACTTCATTGAACAGTGTTCGAAAACTGTCATTGAAGAACCATTTTCACTCCCCCTACATGGTCTGCAAGACTATACAATCAGCAAGTTGTCAGTAGCCAAAGATCATAGTCTTGGCAGATCATCTCATCCAAACAATTTTTAAAACACTTTGTGTAATGTAAAACGACCTGTTTTGAAAACCGTTTCTGTGATTTATTTATGAAGGTGGTCTTTGCGTGAGCCGAAACAATAACAGTGCACTTTAGAAGTACGGGTTCCAAACCGAGCTAGTGCGAGTAACAAGTAGTCTGACCTGTGATTGGTACGAGTGATATGATGCTATGGCGTGAGGCGGTGGAGAGCTAAAGCGCACAGTCAGGCTATCTGATGCGTGTCCTTCACGGCTGAAATTCTTCTTGACCCACTGTGTAGCTGATCAAAACGCAGCACAAAGGGTAAACCGTAAGGTCGGCCTTGTAAGATTTCAGCGGGCAACAGGTCTACCCGGATTAAACCGACGTGTTGAAACTGTGATCTAAATTTAATAAGGCCTTAGAAGTGTTGAGTTCGGTATATCTTCTTATTCCGATCTATCAGTGTCGTTGCAGTCATTATTTGTTTCTTACGTTAAGGCAGCTCTGTCGATGAGGCACTGAGCTCGCAGCTGAAAGATGACAAGCCTGAATCCCAGTCGAATCAACTTTCTTTAAACATTTTAGATGCAGAATACTTCATATAACTTTAATGAAAGAAAATAAAACTGCATTTCATAGCAGCTTCTACCTTAATATAAATATTACCTTCAAAAACTAAGGCATTCCGCATTAGTGACATGGAAAACGATTTCACAGCCCTAATCAGCAACTACCTAAAAGAAGGGTGTCACAAATAGTAGCCCCTCGTACCCTACAAGCGTCAGGAAGACCGACGTTCCAAATGCTACCAGCGTTTGCTTTCGTCTTTCTTGAGTGGCAGCATGAACATATGGATTGCTGAACGGGGTATGGAAAAACGAAGAAGAAAGTCTCTATCTTTAAAGCAACGGTCTTTTCCACAAACCTGTTTGGCCTACAGACAGCCGCAGTCCAAAGCGCCGCGTAGGCCGGCCTGGTTCCAATCACACTAACTTCGATTTATCCTGGAAGTCCGGTAGCCCCGCCGAGTTTCGAATGGTCACCTAAAACCCACCGCCCTAGAGGACATCACCAAAGTTCCAGGCATCGAGTGCCGTCCTGATTCAATAACATGGCTCATAGGAACAGTGACGAGCTGCTAAAGATGTTCCTATCACAGGAACCGAAGAATGGGCATGGAAGACCCGGAAGCCAGTTCAAACGCGGGCGCAACATCGTAGAAGCAGTTCTGTTCGCGACAAGGACTTTGACCGACGCCTCAATAGCTAATGCTGAAATTCATCTGAAAATTCCATCCTTCACATCGGACATCATTTGTCTTGGGCTAATGGCATTATTTTGGCCATGACCTAGATGACGATGAAAAAACACATATTTTTGGCTTTCCTATGCCTGGTATGTAAACTTCTAAACTATGACAGTTTGTTGTACAGCTTGGAGACATCTGCCATAACGAAGGAGCAAGAACGATCGCTGAACTGCGTACAACGGCATTAGCTCTGACCCTCACTGTTGGATAAATAGCCAGGATCACCTGGAGAAT